TATATGAAACTTCACGGAAACTGGAAATATCATGCTTGCACTTGGATGCTTTTGGCAAAGCATTTTTTTTTGCACATATAACTAAGCGAATACCACTAGGACTCATCACTAGAGACACTTTAGCACCTTTTGATACAAACAGCCATAGGCACAAATACGCTCCACTAATACATCATAATATTATTACAGAAATATACAAAACAATTTGGCTAGTTTCTAGAAAGACAAGTCATGATTCGATTCTTCCAAACCCAGCCCCAATACAGACTCCAATCTTAAACAAAACTAAGCCTTTGGCCCCATCTTTTATAGAAAAGAAATTATTAAAATACATAAACAACGGACTAACTTCTTTAATGCATCTTCTCGAAGACTAGAGGTTTAATGACCATTCTAGCAAAGAATAGGTCGAGAGTAAAGTAGCTCTTACCCCCATCTCCTATAATATAGTTTTTTCACATATATTCATTTTATATATGTAAAATTGATTATAAATAAAAGAGATAGAGAATAGACCTCTCTTTAAAAAAAAAAAATAAAAATAAAATGTATATATTATGATATATTTGCATAACTATCAAATAATTGAGTTAATTATATAATTGTTTATTAATAACAATTATCTAAGTTTTATATAAATTAAAAAACAATTAAATCATCAATACAACTCTTTTTAATAATCATCTGGACTAAGTTAGCACTGAAAGTAAATTGAAGACTCTGATTCCAAAGTGGATAATATTTTTAGTTTTATATTAAGTAAACTTGCTATTGACAAAGATCAAGTATATAATATACTGAGAAGCAAATGAAACTTAAGTGGTTCTTGACTTAGGTTAAACTTTTTGTCAAGTAAACTCTCTTACATATTCAGCATCCAAACTGGAAGGATATTCTGTAAGCAAGTAAAGACAAAATTAGTTCTCTAATTAAGAATATTAGAAGCAGAAGAAAAAAAAAACAACTAGAAAAACTCTCTTTAATTTGGACTCTTACAACAATAATATACTACCTCTTCATTAGTTTTTTTTTTTTCAAAAACTGGAGATTTGGCTCACTCTCATCAAAAGATTGATATTGTGCATCACTTTCTTTTGTGGTTACATGCTTGTTTGGACATGATGAATAAGAAACACAACAAACATATAAGTTGACCAATTATGTGAAGCAGATCAGAAAAGGATTTAATTCAGAAAGACCAAAAATATATTGAGATATGCATATATTTCAAGGCTATGTATATAATATTTTTTAAAAAAATAGTTATAAAAGTTTATGAAGAATTGAACTGTTTAAGTGCACTCTAAACCTTGTTACAGTATCCTACTTACTTGAAGAATTCTCCTATATGAAAAGTGTCTGACTTAAACTCCATCCTACAAGTGAATACAGTTTTCATTCTGGTTAAGAGTATCTAGTTTTTAGAGAATAGTCATAGTTCATAAAATAATAAAAACATTATAGTAAGTAGCAATCGTAAAATAGAGTTTTATTCTGTTAGCAAATTTCCTCTTTTATTCTTCTTATAGATTAGTTTTGTTTTCTTTTTGTTAGTTTTATTTTTCTTCATATTTTCATTTCGCTCTTTTCTAATTTAAAATTATTTTCTTTTTTTTTATTTTTCTCTTTTTTATGGGAAGATGTTTTCAAATTGATAGTATCCTATTGTGAAGTAAGGGTCAGACGAGTTGTAATTTCTAGTTCTAACTAGGTTAGTATAACAGGTCACATTTAGGTACTATTTGGGTAACTGGATGATAATAAACTTATAAGTTAAATAATATTCTGTATTTACATATATAGCTACAAATGGTTTAATAAAGTACTACTGTGACTACTTAAGAGAAAAAAAAAATCAATTATTATTCTAAACTAATCAAGTTTTTAAGTTTTTACATAAAAAAAATATTTTTTAAAAATCTTACTATTTTTAATTATTTTGAAAACAGTAATAATAATAATAAAAACTATTTATATAATTTTCTTAATTTTAAATAACTATATTATTTATCAAAATTATTATTTAAAAACTCAAAAACCCAAAAACAGTTACTTTTTTTTTTTTTTTTTTAAATATTAAGATAAGTACTTGTGATCCAGGATTTTATTAGTAGTATATTTGGCTAATAGATGCTTTACAACTACAGAGGTAATCATAGAAAGAATGTAAACTAGTCACTTGTACAACTTTAATCATTGTCTAATTTAAGTAGTTCGTTCAAAGGTTCTACACTACTGCCATACCAGAAACCTATTTGTAGTTTCTCTATTTAACTATTCTGTTTTCATATCCACCTACTTACCTCTGCTTACTAATGATCTTGGCTAATGCTAGTGAAAATATAACATAGTCACTAAGTCTTTAAAGCAGTTCACTCATATAGAGAACCTTTGACCTTGTACTAAACTTTTCAGAATCTTCTGTATCTCATTTTTACAGCTAACCTGGTATCACTATGGCTGAGACCAATACTGGCAGTCAAGGCATACCATTAAACCACTATGCTTTTGTAGAGTTCACCCCAACCTTGGTACTGACTTCATAATATATCCTTACTACTTTGGTATTCAATTCAAGTTTCATCAAGCTGCTATTTCAGATAATTCAGAAAGATAGGTCAAAACCATATACCTCTGATTTACATGTTTGCTGGCATGTGCTTTTTTTCTCTGGAACACAGAAATTCTGACAACCTGGTTGGTTCATCTGGTTCCTTCTCAAAGACCAATATATTTGTCCAATTTCATAAGTTCTAACTTCATTTTATAAGTCTAATCTTTATAGTAACATTATTGAAAGTTCAAGTTACCTTTCTACTCAGGTCTTTCAAATGGGCTTCCATCTTTCTACCTGGTTTCTGTGATTTATACAGGCTAAGAACTTATCTTAGGTTCACACCACCCAGTACCAGTTTGTGTTTTCTTATACAATGTTGTATGAGTATCTAGACCTTCCAGTCATGCTAATATGACACAGGTTACAGATATCCTATCCCAACCAATCACAGAAAACAGTTAGCTATAACACAGAAAAAATTGCAAATTTTCACTGTTATTGGGATTTGAACTCTAGACCTGTTACTTGAAGTTAACAACTTATTCACTTCACTAAGTCACTACACCCCCAAAAACAGTTACTAAAAAAACATCAAATTAATATATAAATATAAAATTAATTACTTACTTTTATGTTTTAACTTAGCATCAAATTTGGTAAACAACATTATATTTAATATAAAATAAAATACTAAATAAATGCATAGCATTGTATATTCAAAACAAGTATTAAATTACAAATTATATTACATATACTATACTATATATATGTGTTACAATTTGATTGAATAGTAGTCACATAATATAACCAAACAAACAAACCTTGTATATCACCCTTTACAAAATAATATAATATTCTTTGCTACACTTTAAACAAATTAAAAAATATTTAATTAAAAAACAAAAAAAAATTGTATAAAAAATAAAATATATATAAATTTGAATAAAAAAATTTAAAAAATAATATAATGAAAATAATAAAAACAGATAAAAGGAAAAAGCAACCCTTATATACTTTTTTTATTAACACGTTTATTGTGTTGTGATCGCGATTTTTACAAAACAAAAACATGAATAAACACGGTAAACATGGTGTAAAAAAGATAAACACTATAAAAAAATAGATGAACACATGAACGTGGTATAAATTAGGTAATAATCATTACAAATATTTCCCAGGCATATGGCTCATTAATGATTATACAACTGGACTGTAATCTAATTAGTTAACATTCGCGTAATGAAGTTGGATATTGTAAAAAATATAACTTCTATTTTTTCACGCCAATTTGCGTTTAATAAAAAAAAAAAACTTTCAATTGCTCAGTAACTAATTTATAAAATTTAAAGTACTGCATGCCACTGACTAAAGTACCCCACTACTATAATACCCCCATAAACAAGACCCAGGTATAATTCATGGGTTCTAGTTGTTCCATGGCCTTTATAATTTGTTATAACTATATGATACCTAGATGTAAATTAGCTATTGATCACTGTAACTAGACATAAAGTATGCACTTTTTTTAATGAAGGCTAGTAACAGATCGCTTACTTTTTACTTTATCGTACAATTACAAATAATATCTTGTGCTTCTTGCCTTCACCGTTTATATTTAATAATATTACTAATTTTTTTTGCTAATTTAAAAAAAAAGTTTATATATTCTAAAAAGAAAATTATTTAACTAATACCCTACGCAAAAACGCGCGTCACGTGATATATTTGCATTTTCATTGGCTATTAGGCCAGAGATGCTTAAAAGCACCCATTCTAGAATATTTTTTGATAACATTTCACAAGCCTTTCATAAGTAAAATTTCTACTATAAATTATGTTAAAAAGACTAAGTTGCACATGTAAATACAAATGTTAGACTAAATGTTTAAATATTGAAAAATAAAGTAAAAAAGCGAGATGTTCGTAGTTTAAATTCTCTTGCAAAAAAGATTAATCATAATTGGTTAATCGTGCTATATGACCAATTAGAAAGTAGACGCACAAAATCCGAAACAGACTTTTACTAAAAAATGAATCCAATTCCAAGATACTTATATATAGTCAAACTTATATGTTATCACCAGATAGATATATGCCCACTTGTGTGATTGTAGGGAAGGATGACCGTCTTTGCTTTATTAGTTTATTATAATTTGATTGGTATGTTTCAATGTGATTTACCTCTGCTTTAGACGATCCTATTTTTGGCAAAATCCCTATCATAATTCGATTGTTCGAATAAATTGATTTAAACTTTCGAGGTAACAAATCGTTGAATGATTTCCATTTATTAAACTTAAAGAAAAATTGAACCAATTAAATTAATACATACAACTCATGTGCCATGTAGTTAACCAATCAAATTACTAAAACATATTACAACTAATTTACAAAAATTGGTCCAACTAATCGATCGGAAAATTTATTAGAATAGAAATATACTTTAATCCTCTTCATCAACATAATTTGCCATGGGATCCTCATAACTATATAATATTAACAAAAGTTAAAGGTGGCCAGAATAAAATCTTTCTAAAAGAGTATCAAATAATTATACTTACGATTGTTTTTTCAATCGATATGCCTCTAACTCCTCTTCAGTAATTTCAGATTCAATTTTATCTTGATTACCCATAAAAGCACTGTTGTAAGGTCGTTTTCTATCGTCGATAATAAAATCTGGTTTCTTTATTTTGTTTCGTTTATCTTCTTCTTCCAATGCCTTTTTAAGTTTTTTAACGTCCAATTGAATATCACCTTCACCAAGATTCTTACGTTTTAAATGCTTATTCGTGTCATCAACGCTTTTAGATTTTGATTTTTTCATATTTTCTGCGTGAATTTCAACAAGGGATTTTTTATTTGAAGACTCTTCTTCATTTTTAATCTCTGAGGCAGTCAAGAGATTAGAAGCATTTGCAGCTTCGATACCGGCCAGGCCAGTACAATATGAATTTTTAATAAAAGAGCGACAACATTTATATCCCCAATTACCGTTAGCCCAATATGAACCCCATATAGAAGTATGATTATTATTGAAGACTAAAAAATATTTCAAATTATTAGAAATAAATTATAAATATATAGTTATATAAAAAAGATTTAAACACATACCATCTTCTTCATATTTTGACTTTGCTACAGCACGTTCCTGGCCTTTTATTATTCTCCCGGTTCTTGAATATTCAACATATTGCTCAGTTTGAGCCAATAACAATTCTTTTGGTGGAGCATTCAAATGTTCTTCACCACCATATTTTGCCAAAATCGAATCTTTGCTAGTGTCTTTAAGTTTTTCTTTTTTTTGAAGATATTCACGATGTAATAGTTCACCTTGAGTAGGATTTGCTTGTAAGTGAACATCAGTACCCTTTTCATAAGCTTGCCAAGCAAAGAGCTGAAGATTTGCCATGTTTGGAGCATCTCCTGTATAACGTACAAAATTATCACCAGCATAAAAACTATCTTCAGCACCGATATCTTTATTTGGATTATCACGCATAGAACGAGTTTTAGGATCATAATAAGCAGAATTTATATCCAAATTTCTCAAGTATTTTGCAGTATCTTCACGAATTCTCAAATTTCTGATAGTAGTTCTCGTTTTTGTATTAACTTTTTGACCAGGCATATCAGATTTTTCAGCATATTTGTCATCATCATCTTCCTCTTCATCACTTGAAAATTCAGCAGCAATTCGATCGCCAGTTTTTTTAACAAGTTCAGTAGTACTTTGTTTATCAAGTTCATTAGCTTTCATTTTACGTCTTGCTTCTTCAATTTTTTCATATTCTTCATAAATTTTTTCATGTTCAGATGGGTCATAACCATTCCAGCGATCTCTTTTAGCATCATAATCTAAATCAATTTCTTGAATTATTTCATCAGGTTTTATATCTTGACCAGTCCATTTAGCACCTGTTTTCCTTGGACGATCCATGCATTCTTTTGTTTTATGAGTCATAGCACCACAATTTTCACAGGCACCTTTTCTAAATTTCGTTGCAGCTGGACCAGCACGAAGACCACGTGCATACCATTGACTATTATCTTTTGTTTCCTCAATAGGAAGAAACCTCTGATGTTTTAAAGTTGGACGTCCAGTGTCTAAATACCATGGCGCTTTGGCGATGTATTGAGGGATATGAGGATTAATATCTTTTCCTTCTTCATCTTGCTCTGCAGGAGCAGTACCAGCTTTTCTTGCCGCCTCAAGATCTTTTTGACGGCGATAATCTTCCCGACTTAATTTATTAGTTGATGCTGTAAAAGATAAAGACGACATTTTTTTTTTCAATACAAGTTTTTTTCATGATTTTGTTTACAGATATATATGAAGAATATCATATGATATATCACATGATTAAGACCATTACACGGCAAATTTCTGTTGGTCATGAAAAAGCATAAAAAAGGAGGAATATTTCAACTATCTGGCGTCTTTAAATAATAATAACAAATATGTTTGAATGGAGAATTGTAATTTTTATTAAGAATTTTTTTAAGAATATTTTGTTAAACCTTTAATGTCTAAACTATTTTTAATTTTAGGATTTTGAGGGTCAAAAGCTTAGTGAATTCATATCTCAAATTACCATTGTGTTGTTTGCGGTGAGATTTTATTTTATTTTTATAGTACTTACTTTCAATGCTACAATTTACACAGTTTAACGTATTAATATTTTGAAAACGAAAAAAAAAATAGATAATTGGGTTTGCCTATGGATTCCATTACCAAGATCTACTATCGACCATGAAAATATATTTAGGTGGAATTCTTATTGCTGCTTTCGTGAGTTATTATTCATTGATTAATATATATAAACGTTATATTTTTATATTAATCTTTAAAAATTTCTTTTCTCTCAAAGCTCACTTTACCACATTGGCCATTTTATAATCTACACCCAGTTCAATGGCTTCCTGAAATTTCAAATAAAGAATCAGAGAAAGATGGGAAATAAAATATTCTTAGTTTTGATATTTATGTTATATATATATAATAAATTATAGAAAGAAAATGACAACTTTAATACTCACCAGAAGTGAAACTCGCCGAGAATATGGTAAAAGTAGGACAGATGTGTAAAAATCATGATAGTACGTACGGTTTTCAAAAGAAAACATTCGCCAAACCCAAGTTACGTTTCCTAATACCTATCCTTAACAAGAAAAAAGGGAGTACTAATGCTTGCCCTAACCATTATAAGAGTTACTCATGAAAATTGAATTTTACAAGTCGTAACCGTACGTTCGATCAAAATTTAGTATTTTATACGTCCGTCCGAATCTGTACTGCCATACGGTACTACCTTACTGAATACTTGGGTATACTATGTCCAAAAAACATCTTTAGCAATTGATGCCTGATGTACTAAGTAAATTGCTCCATTCAGCACCCAGAAAACCCCCAAACTTTTAATCTTAACCTAAGCCCTAATCCTGAGGTCTAAATTTAAATCTTAGTAATATTAAAGAACATATACAAGTGAATTTCTGAAGAAATTCATGTATGCTCTAATTGGGAAAATGCAATTTATTATTATTCATAAAGCATATGATTAATTTTAGGGGAATTTACAAACAAGGCCCTAAAAACGAAAATAATTACAAATAAGGACCCAAAATGAAAATAGTTACAAATAAAGGCCCAAAATATATCATCAAAATTGCTAGCCGAGTTAATCATAACGGTATGGTTAATTGTCTTATTTCGTGATTAAATAGGTGTTTTAGAGTTGTCGTTTATTATTTAGAATTACAGTAAGACCTTTCTATAGTCACTTCCTCATTTGCTTATAATCACAAACTTTAAACCCAACTCATATAATGCATATAAAATTTAACCTTTATATAAGCATAAAATTCTTGAAACCAAGGGTGTGATTATAGAGTTTGACTAAAAAAAAAAATTTCCGACCGACTGACCGGATTTTTGAAATCCATGTGATGCAAAATGAAAAATTAGCTTTGTGTGGCCTAACGTATGATGTCTCGGTCCCAACTTTAGAACGAACAAGATTTTCAATATCACAAGATCGAAGCATTGCTATATCTCGTGTTTTGAATGTATCCATAAAAGTTGACAAGTTGGATCATCATTACGCTTGTTAGATGAAAAAGTAAAAGGCATGAACTGGTTTCATTTGTAAAACAAACAGTCAACAGCTTACTTGGTTGTTCATTCTTAACTTAGAATTCAAGAGAATAACTGTCCAAGGCCGAATGAACATTTTCCAAATTGGTAAAAGTCTTACTGATCTGTAACTTTGTATCTAACATTTATGAACAGGTTTTAAGAAATGTATACGTATAAGAATTTCAATGAAATAAATTTACAGCGTGAATAATGGGTTGACAAATCGAATGTACCTTTTTTATTGTGCATTGAGATTTATATTCGAATTACTAATTGATTATTATTACATTTCTTACGCAATGATTATATTACGATCATATTCAAATTATCGAAACGGGGCTAAATCATAGGTTTTTAAGTGTACAAATAGTTATTTTGAGTCCTTATTTGTAATAATTTTCAAATATCGGCCAATTATTTCCATTTTGGGCCCTTATTTGTAATTATTTTCATTTTTAGGCCCTTATTCCCCTTAATTTTATATGTACATTTATATTATTTGCGAAAAAAAGTGTAATTTGATATAGAGACGCAATTTTTTTTCTTGTAGCGAAAATTGTCTATTAATTCGATAATTTAATGTTCATTTGTGACATTAGATATGGTAATGTATGCTAACTGAGGAATGGTCGATATTTTCAGGTATACTTTCAGAAACATCAGAAGTTTCTGATTTTGTAGAATAAGGTGTGGATGATATATTTTCCGGTTGTATACCTTCAGAAACATCAGAAGTCTCTGATTTTGCAGAATAAGGTGGTGGTAAATCGTTACGATATGTTGGTGGTGGAGGTGTAATAAATAAATCAGATCTTTCTGCCAAGTTTCCAAGTCGATAGTTAGCGAATGTTGAATAAATCGGACCACTCGATGGTTCTGTTGTTTGTATTGACGTTAAATCGACTTGTTGCGTGGATTGAGAGATATATCCCATTCTTTGTGATGATTTATTATAAAATTTTAATCGGACAAATATCTAAAAATATATAATTCTTGATTAAATATTAATAAAAATTGAATATTTCATTTTATCCTAAGAACATTACCCAGTATATTACGTAAGACAATATCAGCACTGATAAAGTAATTATCATGTCAAATAGTATTGAACGTTTATGCTTCATGATATAAATTATAGAAAAAATCAAACAAAGTGCGAATGCAGTAACTATGTAGGCATGATTAACATAATTATGAAATCTAGGATACTTCGATGCCATCATGTTAATTTTTTGGATTTAAGCGGTTACGAAAGAATGACAAAATTGCCCCCGTTTATATATGTAGAGAATATGATAGACAATTCTCATTACTGCATTTAGATTAATGTTAACGTTAAATATGGAAAATATTGATATCCGGATATATTTAGACGAGCTCATACGTATTATAGAGTTAATGGATCAAGTTATGCAAGTAAATTTCCGATAATTTTCACGTACAATTTCGATGTCATGAATCCGGCTGAGTTCACGTGATGTTGTAAATCAATATTGTCAGTATGCATTGATATACTTGCACAAAGATATATTTCTTGACTAAAAAGAGCTTCATAAACGAAGTAACAGCTTATAGTCATGCATAGGAGTTTCATGAGCGCTTTTCTTTCCGCGAAACTTATGTACTAACAACAATGCTCCATATAAAATTTAGATAAAGTATTTTATTGGCTGCTTCTCATCCAATAACTGCATAGTATTCAATTAATAATACCAGTATTAATAATTTTGATATATTGATACATGTTCAAATTAGCAAATAACGAAATAAAAGATCTACCATAATCCTGTTTCAGCATTCGCAAATATGTTTTATAAATGTTACCATAAAGAGGATCTGATAGAAAATACGGGTCAGTTTTGGGGAACTAACCTTAATCACCAAAATGAATATTGATCAAAAATGTATCATAGTGCGATTATTTTTGTTTTAAAAGGTTATACCGTATTCTACTGTAAATAAGCACCACACCCTCTACCCTATTTTTTTAAATACCATATTAGCGGAAATAACTTGGCTAAAGATCTCATTGCGATGTCCGTTAATCTGACATTTAAAAAAATGGGGTAGAGGGT